GCCCACCTCTGGAACTGGTCGGCAGTTAACTCGGTTCGGTTGTGTCTAGCTCAGTTCAGTTCAGTTTGCTTTCCATTTACACACGATAAGTTATCTCAGTAACTGAGCTCGAACCGGTCTCGGCATGGTTTTTCAAGTGTAGTGTAAATGGGGTACAAGTGAAAGAAGGTACAACTTAGAGAATAATTGTATTTTGTCTGTTCTCGCCTTTTCAAGTGATTCAACATTTCAGCTTAGAGAATGACAAACAGTATGATTTCAGTGCTGAAGTAACATTTATTTCACCCAAGGAAAAGCACAACATATGAAGCTACAATTTTCCCATTTAGCAGTTTTTACAAACCCAACATGAGTCCTTTCTGCATTTGTGAGAGGTATACTTTGTGCAGTGCACACATCGCTCAGTGCTGTGGTTCCTGTTGCAGAGATTGCACACCAGGCCTGCTTATAATAACAATGAAAAAAACCTAAAAAGAAATAGAGTTTAGCACATATTCCCAAAGTAAGAGTTATAGTATGAACTAGATGAGGTTATCTATGTGTAATACAAGTTTTGTGGCACTACAATTATCTATAGTTTAATTATTGGGTATTATAGGCTTAAAATAACAATGAATAAATCTCCAAAATACAGTTTGGCCTTTCTTCCCAAAGTAAGAAAAAAAAAGAATGTTATAACTTTAAATATACAGTCACATGTTTATATAACTATTTTTCAAAAGTATTTATTACTGTTTTTAAGGCTTCACTTTAAAATATGAAATTTTCTAGAGCTGTTCTAAACAAATTCTTTTTTTGTTTAGAACAGCTCTAGACAATTTGACAAAATAAATCTGTCTCCTTTTAGTTTTTTGGCTTTTGAGTTTAGCACATGTTCCCAAAGTAAGAGTTTTAGTCTGAACTAGATGAGATTACCTGGGTTTGGAGGCACCACAGTGATCTAAAGTATAATTATTGGCTATTATACGCTTATAATAACAAACAAAAAAATCTCCAAAAATTCAGTTTGGCCTATCTTCCCAAAGTAAGAGTTGTAGTATGATCCAGATGAGGTTATCTGTGTACCATACAAGTTTGGAGGCAGTATAGTGATCTATAGTGTAGTCATGGCTCATTTTATACTTATTCTAATAATAGAATAGAGGTGCCATTTGTCATTTAGGCTTTTGGAAAGTCCTCAGAAAAGTATTATTTTTCGAATCCAATACATGTGATAATAATCCACCTCTACTTGGTGAGGCTTTTGAATATTTCTCTCTGATTATTTTGCAACTTGCAGATGGAGCATTTGCGGAGCAGCGAGCTCTGCATAGGGTCCAATGTAATTCTCCCAGCGCGATAGGAGACTCACTTTTTGGAAACTACGGTTGTAGCCCACTGTCTGCCTTACTGTTGCTGCAGAGAGGTGTCTGCTTTGTAGAATAAATCATCTTCCGAGTTATTAATCCGGAAAAGCAGAATCTGAATATATTGCCAACTTTACTGCAATTTCACCATGCTGTCTGCATGTCTGCAGTGGAGGAGAAAGGAGAGAGAGAGGAGAGATCGCTTGAGTTATATTCCCCCCCAAATAAATAATGGTTATTATTGTATAAATATTGTTTGTTTCTACAGCGTTCCAGCTCAAGCAGCTATTTTCATTGTACAGATCAGTTATCATCTGATTGCTGCGCTGGTGGCTGCGGTGAAATCATTGCGCTGTTGGCGACACTAAACTGAAGTAGACCTAGTTATATTAAGTACAAATATGATTTTTCCCCCCCTGCTCTCAAGTAAAAGAGTCTCAAAGAGAGAGACTTTAGCTGAAACCGAAACTCAAGGGGGTTGAATAGTTCTCCAGCCACAGCACTAATGGGGCATTTACATCTGAAAAGGGATTCATGAGTTGATAAGTACTGTTGGGGGGATTGGAAGCTGACGAAAATTCTCGTATCTGTGGGATTTCTAGAGCTAGCTATTCATCATAGATCCATTTTCCTAATAAAGTTTTATAAAAAATCTGTCTCCTTTGAAAACTGGGCCCCCTTGTTCTGACCCTTGACAATTAATGGCTTTATAGACAAACAGTAGTATTTTTAAATCTATTGTTTGAGATCTATGAAGCCAATGTTAGGACTTTAGAACTGAGGTGACATGATCCTCTTTCTTAGTTTTAGAGTGGACATGGGCAACAGCATTCTGGGTCAACTGCAAAAATAAGACAGCAGATTATATCTTACAGTAACAGAGTCCTGGAAAAGGGAAAAAATACCTTATTTACTGGTAAAATATAGGTCAAAACAAAATGTTAAAATATGGTTCTCAAATCACTGTGCTGTTGCTGGATCTGTAAAGCTACTACTAAATTGTTCCAAACTATTATGCCCCGTCCACACAAAGTCAAAACGAACACGAAACGCTAATATTTTCCAGAACGTTTGTCGTAAAGACGGAGACGTAAAATAAATGTGATCGTCCACACGAATGCATGAAAACGCTGCAAAATGTATGCCAGGCCTGTAAGTGGCGCTGTCGTGCCAAAGCAAAAATAGGCGACGAAATGTTGGGCATGCTCCGAGCCAGCTCCCATGTCAGAGGATGAAGAGAGCACATCCACCAAGTCACAGTCAGAGAAACAGGACTACACTGGAAAACAGGCCAATCTCCAATATATCTAGAAACAAAGGTGTTGATGGCAGCAGCATAGCTGATATTTCTCTCACAGCCAAACAGGAACAGATGAGGCAAAGCTACTATGAGAAAAAGCAGAGAGAGCATAACGTTAGAGATTGAACTAACAGATTCTGCAGAGTGGGAGAATAGAGATAGAATGAGGCAGAATGATGAAATGGGGGTCCCTATGTCCTCCAGTAGTCTAAACCTATAGCAGCATAACTATATAGATAGCTTAGGATAACCTGAGCCATTCTAACTATAAGCTTTATCAAAAAGGAAAGTTTTAAGCCTACTTTTAAAAGTAGAGAGGGTGTCTGCCTCCCGGACTAAAGCTGATAGTTGGTTCCACAAGAGAGGAGCCTGATAACTAAAAGATCTGCTTCCCATTCTATTTTTAGAATTCTAGGAACCTCTAGTAAACCTGCAGACTGAGAGCGAAGTGCTCTGTTAGGAACATAAGGAACAATCATATCTCTTATATCAGATGGTCCATTTAAGGCTTTATATGTGAGAAGGAGGATTTTAAATTCTATTCTAGATTTAACAGGAAGCCAATGAAGATAAGCCAGGATAGGAGAGATATAATCTCTCTTTTTAATTTTCATATTTGACTACAGTTTTTGGACTTCCTGATAGCAAATAATTACAATAGTCCAGCCTGGAAGTAACAAATGCATGGATTGGGCACCCCCCTTATATCTGACACTCTGGTGATGGAAACACAGGTAAGTGACCACTATCATCTGACATGATGATCTAAGTTATTCACTTACCTGGTTCAACAGTCCAGTCCATCTCCCTGGAAAGGGGCGCAATCCAACCATGGCATGCATTCATTTTGGCTTCAGGCACATTAAGTATGATAACAACGGAGCTTTGACTGCATTCACTGAGCCTTTATATCTATAACAAACAATATAGGAAGGCTTTAGTAACATTATGTCCAATATCTCTGTGTGATGCGCTGCTGGATGATAAGAGAATCACAATGAGTCCAGGTATAAGTATCAGTTTATTGAATACTTCACCAGGTATCAAGCTTCCAGGAAGGACCAGGCAGTTATTTAGTATGATTATTCATGATCACAACCTTCTTAGCAAAAGTGAGAAGTTCAGGGAACAGGTTGACCCGTCTTATATCTTGCCACAAAGATAGTTTGTATAACTTGCCTCAATAATAACTAAATGAACTTTAAAAACTTTTTTTTAATGTTTATAAAACATCATCTTGCATCATTGACAAATCATTAAACAACATTACATCCGGAAAATTTTCACTTCCATTTTCACATTATGACATGTTTAAAATATATCAATGACATTTTAATTCAAAGGTATAAATTTCATCATATGTATGTAATTAGGGGGTTCCCGCTCCATCTCACTATCAGTTTGGGGGTCTTTGGCCTGGAAAATGTTGAAGCCCCTGGTATAGAGGATGATCTTAGCTATCTTTTTATGCCCATGTGTTGGGATCTGGAGATCTGTCCACCTTTCTCCAGCAGAGGGTGCCCTAGGTCTCCTGGAGCTGAAGCTGACCACCACACCTGCGGCTGATTAGCTCATCAGGGAGACCAGCATATAAGCAGAGGCAGGACTACTCTTCAGCGCCAGAGTGTTAAGCCAGTTACGGTTAGCAAGCCTGAGCCAACCAGCCTGCCTGATTCTCTGACTCCCTGAAAGCCTGACTTGAACCTAATCAGTTTTTTGTCCTCTCTGCATCCTAGGAAGAACCTGACTGAAACCTGAACCTCTGGAAGAGCGTCTCCACTGAAAACCTGCCTGCCTGCTCTCAGTAACAAACCTGAAGATTAAACTGTCTGGATCTGCCTACCTTCCTCCAAGGAGGACTTGGAGAAACTCTGAACACTAACAAGCCTGAAGCTAGGTCCTGTCGCTGCCAAGCCCTCTGCCGTCGATCAGTCTCTTGACCCTCCTGGTTCCCTCCCTCTGCCGCTCTGCCTGAATCTCTGAACAGGTACAGATTGCACATTCTCTCAGCTACAAGATCATGGCTAACCTAACTGTCCCTCTCTGCAGAGAGCCTTGTGTGACCAGTCCCGGATCTGATTCCAGTATCTGTCAAATAACCTTGTGCTTATCTTCAATAAACTGTTAAACTTTACTCTGACTCCTTGATGTTCTGCATGTGGGTTAGAAACCTGAACCCCAACATGACACCATGCGCACTTTCAACAGCACATGTGTGGTGAGCTATGGTTTCAGACAGTGAAGCTCACCTTTTTCTCCACGGTTCTTTGAAAATGGATGAGGGTCGTAAGAGAAAAAGTGTCTAGTGTATGAGAAGAAATGAAAGGCTTAAGAAGACGCAGATATATCCCAGAATGCTTTGTGCGGACAGCTTTCCTCGCAAAGCATTATGGGATTTGCTCCCACAGTGGCCCACTGTTACCATAGGCTGCAGCTACCCGACAGCGGTCACTAATAACAAAGATGGTGCAGGCACCGTGCAGTGGTGCCTGCCCACTACTGTGATCACCATTCAGACAGTGATTGTCGTCCAAACGGTAAATTGACTGAGTTCACTATAAAGTCCCCACTGTATATACAGTAGTTAGGGCAGACGTTCAGATACAGTACGGTACGAGCTATGAAAATAGCAACTTTCAAACACAGCGAGCATGAGGAGAAATGGGCTTGTGCATGCTCTTGTAAGCACATTTTTTTTTAAAGTGGGTGGGTGTTTTTAACTATTAAAGGAAAACCTCCACATTATATGATCTAGTTTGAGATATAAAATCATATAATGTACCATCAAATTGATCCAAGTTCTGTATAAGGGGAGTGGAGACCTAGTGGTTAGGACACTCACTCCCACAGACTGCCACTGTGGCTCTCTGAGCAAGAGCCTTAACCAAAAGCTGCTCCCCGGGTGTTGCATGATGGCACCCTACTGCTTCCCAAGGGAATAGGTTAAATGCAGAGGTAAATTTCTCCAATGTGAGATCAATAAAGTTCAATTATTATATTATTATTATTATACACTCAGTCATCAAATCTGTGTGTCTGGTGCAATGGTGTTTAAGATCCAGAAGGTGTCAGTATAGTTCACCACTGTATGACAGTACTGGCAGAGTATCAATACAGTTTGGAGAGTGTCAGTACTTTATGTGGCCTTGTCTACCTATTATTATTATCTAGGTTAGGGGTTGGCAACCCATGTCTCCAGAGCCAAATGCAGCTCTTAAATGCCCTCTTTGGGGCTCCATGGAGCTTTTTCAAAAATGTAGGAAAATGGTCTAAAATCTTCATTTTAATATGGTAAAAGGTCAAACAAACTTTCATTATGTCCTCCAATACTGTACAAGTTTGTACAATAAATACATTTAAACAATAAATATAAAAAAAAAAATCAATGAAGACTTGACTTATAGCCTGCAACACACGTTTTAGCTCGACGTGGTGCAAGGAAGGTGGCTTATGAAAACAAACATTTATTGTGTTTCTATAATTTTATCAGTGCAACCGAAACTTATTCTGTACATTAATTAATTGCAATGAAATTTAAACTTAAAGCACCAGATATCTTACAGCAGGTTTATCACATAATGTGACATTTGGTCCTGCATACAGTAAACATTTGAGCATGAAAGTTAATTATATATTAAAGAGAAAGCCATCTCTGTTGTTTTGTAACATTTAAGATGAGATCATTGTTTCCAATTAAATCCACCTCCCAGCTCCTGTACTCAGCTTATAGTCAATCTCCTATACACTCCACAACAACAAGGTCATTTCTGCAGTGTGTCTTTTACTGGATGTCTGAGGTGAACAACGAATGGTGAGTCCCCTACTGTGTTCATGTGTTACTGACTACCTCGTTAGGCAGGTGGGTATTTGCCTGCATTACTGTCATGTCCTTGATCAAACAGTCCATCATAGACAATCCCTGATACATAGCAGGGCAGAAATGTCATATGAGATAGTTATATTAAATACATAAATACAAAACACAGTAAATATTTTAATTTCACGAGTTACACCCTAGACAGGTCAGTCCATCTAAGTGTGACCCCTCACAAATAATAAACCAGAATTACTGTACTGTTTTTCAAAATTTAAATATTCAAATTATGATGTCAAAAGGGTTCTGTGTTGGGTGGAGCTGAACACTGTTTTAGAACAGCTTAAACAGCACAGCAGGATCATACCACCTGTTTTTCTCTCGGGATATAACCAAATTGAAGCATGTTGGCATTATTTTAAACTTTTTTTTATTATCAAAAAGGGAGAAAATAATATACCAGATGTTGCTAATTCTTTTCTAATTATTGTATTTAATTATCAGAAGCATAAGATTGGATAAAACATTAATAAAAAAAAACAAAAAAACAATGATTTATGACAGAACAAACATGCAACGGATAATGTTTATTCTCATACTGATTGGTAAGTGTCTCTATTTTAACATTCATTGATTTCACAATGTGCACCGCTGCCTCTCTCTCAGCTGCTTATAGTCTTTTTTTTTTTTTAACGGTCTGATCATTGCTGTTTCCCTGATTAAAAATTCAGATTTAGACTTACAAAAACTTTATTGTCATTTTGTAATCTAATCTGTGTATTCCAAACCTTGTGTTGCATACAGCTTACAATAGTGAAATTTGCTTTTCCAGGTTTTAATTAAAATTTTAAGTTGTAGTACACCCCTCAGCAAAAGTTTTTGAGATCACCAGAGAGAGAGAAACATTGTGGTTTGATGTACAAGTGCTGGTGATATCTCCCAGAGTTTAGTTATCATTCAAAAGAACATTTAAGATATTTATTCCATCTGTATTTCAGGAATAAAGAGCATTATATGAAATGTACTTCAACACCCTTAACATCATTTTTCCTTACTTGCAGGTCAAAGTTTTCTCGCAGTCTGTAAGCTCTATGTGTATCACTACATTGACAAGAGTGAGACGTGGACTGATGCTAAGCAGTACTGCAGAGAGAAATACACTGACCTTGCCACAGTTACTAACATGACGGACATGAAGAGTCTCCTCATGTCAATTAAGAATGGAAACAAAAAAGGCTGGCTTGGTCTGATCTACCGAACAGATGTAAAAAGAACCTGTCTCTGCCAGGAGTGAAGCTCAATGAAAGTGATCTAAACTGGAACAAAGGAGAACCAAATGATGTAGACACTGAAAACTGTGGGTTTTTGCTCAAAGACCTCACATTGGGAGATGTCTCCTGTAGAGGAGACGAGGAGTACAAAAGTTATTTTGTTTGCTTTGATGGTGAGAATACTTTTTACTAAATTAATTTCAGAACTTGTGTTTGGACAAAACATGTATGCAGAGCTGTTGACCCACTGTTACATAAAATGAACAAGAGTGAAGATTTCTAATAGCATTAAAGGAAAATTATAATATTTAATGATTTAAAATGTTAGGACTTTTTTAAAGGGGTCATAGAATGCAAAACCGAGTTTACATTGTCATAGATGAATAATGATAATTCAGTAGGTGAAATGGACATACAGAGAAACCCCATCGACATCTCCCTCCTCTGCAAATCTCACAATTCTAAACGTCCACCATAAAACGGGGGAATCCAAAGCAAGGCCCGAGTTGACATAAAGTTGGCGATTTTGCCTTATTTGGTTTAAGGCCTGTTACTGTTACGCTGTGAAATTGACATTCACACCAGCCCACTGGTTCACTGGCCGAGGAGGGGGGGCGCATTCTCGCGCACCTTGCTCATCTAGTTTGTCCATCTTTACAAGTCGTTTTCCACAATGGCGGTGATATATACAAAACAATTTTTAAATGAATTATGCATAGAGTAGAGCGGATGTAGATTTGACCAATCAGATGCCTCCTGTCTGCTGTAACCTACCATTTTGGAGAGATGCAGCAGAGTGTCTGAGGCAGGGGTGGGGGCACATTTGCATTCACTGCAACACACGCAGAGAACCTGGTTTCTGAGTATAAATCAGCCTTAAGGCAGGCGGGGTAAAGCACAGGGCTTCGTGTGTCCAGGCTGACGGCTCGGTTCCAGTGCCTGGTGTGTTTCGATTTACATGCTGCACTGTAGTTGACCAAAATCCTGGAAGGTTTTGAAATTCTTCCAGGACATTTTTTTTAGGTATGAAAAGTAGGACATGTCCGGGAAAAGATGAATTTCTGAGTGAGTGCTTGTTGCTATGATGTGTCTTTGCTCAGCAGCTTTGCTCATTGTGAACCACCCAATCAGCGCACAGCTCGTCTAAATATTCATGAGCATACCATAAAAGATTCAATGTAGGGCTTAAAACCAGGCTTGCATTGGGGGTCATTTTCAGCCCAACCAATGTTACACACCCTATTCAGAGACCTTAAGGACCAGCATCAAATACCCTATATAATCATTCTATGACCCCTTTAACTGTTTCAGACATCACTGCTTGCAATCAATTCAGCTGAAGAATGAAAAAATAATGGTAGGAACTTAATTATATGTCCTAATTGTCTTTATCCTCAAGACCATAACCAAAGAAAGAGATTTCATCTAATCAAAATAAAGAGTACGTGGCTGGAAGCTCAGAGTTACTGCAGACAGAAACACACAGATCTGGTCAGTGGGATAAACCAGCTACAGGATCCACAACTCAAGGAAGAGATCAACTCTATAGACACCTTTGTGTTTGTTGGCTTGTTTAGGGACACCTGGCAGTGGTCGGATGGAAGCAGTTTCTCTTTCAGACACTGGCATAAAGAGTTTGACGATGAAGGAGAAATGGCTGATCACTGTGTTGCTATTGATGATAAAGACGGGTGGAACATAAACCGCTGCACCAAGCAGATGCCCTTCATTTGTTATGAAGGTGAGTTTTTCTGGCAGTTATAAAACTGTAAATCAGATACCTTTTATATGTTTTAATTTTGATGTGTTCTTTGACCAACATGAACACAAAACAAAATCTTATGTTCTCTTACACTCACAAAAATTGTTTTCTAACCATTCTGGAATTAGTTATTAAATGTAACTCAGGTAGGCTCCAAATCCAGCTCCCAGCTACGCCACTAGTTGCAAACTAGGAATCATCAATTTATGCAATAATGCTCTGCTCTGCAGTTATGGAAATGGCAGATTTCTTAATGAATCACTACATATATATATATATATATATATATATATATATATATATATATATATATATATATATATATATATATATATATAATATATATATATATATATATATATATATATATATATATATATATATGTATATATATATATATATATATATATATATATATATATATATATATATATATATATATATATATATGTATATATATATATATATATATATATATATATATATATATATATATATATATATGTATATACATACATATATACATATATATATATGTACATACATACTGACTGTATGATCTGGTTGAACTGTAAAGTGCCTTGAGATGACATGTGTTGTGAATTTGGCGCTATATAACTAAACTGAATTGAATTGAATTGAATTATATATATATATATATATATATATATATATATATATATATATATATATATATATATATATATATATATATATATATATATATATATGTAATATATGTAATATATGTAATATGCATTTAAAAGTGCTACTTTACAGTGGAACAAAAGCTGATATTGATCCGAAAGATTTTTCAGGTTCTCAACTTACTACCCAAATGAAAAACACGTTGATTTTTTATTGCTCAATTTGATCTCTTTGGATAAGTTTAAATGTCTCATCTTAGTATCATCCTGTGACATTTTATTTCTTTTTGCTTCTCCTAAGGGAACATTAGGAGCTAGAGAAAAGCAAAAAAGTTATAAGACATCACCAAGTATAAGGAAGTTGCGTTGAGAAAAAGATTTTAGCATTACATAAGAAGTGGGATAAACGGGGGATATCTTATCATTGTATAGCTTAGTGGCACGGAGGAGAACGGATTAGCACTCTTGAGTCATAGGCTCTGTTCGAAAACCTGGGCTGCATGCTCCAAGGACACAGTCTACCTAGACTGGATCCTTCGAAGTCCTTGAGAATAAGGAGGCCGGAAGAGTTTTAGCTGTGAATGCGAACAGGTCCACCCTTCGGCGGGTTTTACTGCCGTAAGCTCTGTTGCTTAGCAACCATAAAAGTTGACACACAAAGCAGGAAAAGAATGAATACCGAGGTTTTCAAAACTGTTTGTTTATTTATTTATTTTTTATTGTAAAGTGAACAAAGACTGCTGTCATTCTGCACATCTCTGATGTTGCTGCTATTTTCAAATATCCATTACTGTAAAAATGTCCATAGCTGCATATTGGTTATTTATTCTCCAGTTTTATATTTTTAAAACACTTAGAATCTGTCCTTGAATTACAGCCAAACTTATTTACATAGTAACAGATAAAAACCTTTAGATAAATCAAACATTACCGCCACATATCTGACTCAATAACCATTAAAACAACTATTTTCATTCATCTCAGACGGAACTATTCACAGACTTAATTTATATTAAACTGAACTTCCAATTTTTACCACTGTATGGCGCCAAGTAACCTTTCTTCTGAACAGCCAGCATGCTTGGTCTCGCAATGAATCCTGGGTAAACCAAGGATACCGAGGATACATCGGACCCGTCCTTCAAATCCGGCAAAAAGAAGGACGCAAATTAAGGCCGCATAACGAGGACTCTTGGAATCCGACCAGACCTCGGCGCAGCGCTATGACGTAATCGTCCTTCGAATCTGGCCTTCTAAGGACGCGTCCTAGGTTTTCGAACAGAGCAATAGTCTTGGCAGGGACCTTCCTGTGTGGAGTTTGTATAGACTCCCTGTGTCTGCGTAGGTTTCCTCTACCAATAAAGACATTTTGTCAGGTCAGGTCAGCCATTAGTGGCTCAGGCTAAACTTCCATTTGATCTATGACATTTTGTTGTTTGTACCCTGTATGTATAATGACAAATAAAGAACATTATAATCTTATAATTGATCTAATCTTAAAGCTACAGTGTGTAATAATTACAGGGATATAAAGTCAGAAATTTAATATATTATACATAACTATGTTATTTATCATCATCTACGAGCTCAGCCTCTTAACCTTAATATTTGCGTTGCCTTAGAATTCGTTATTTATAATTACATAGGAGCGGGTCTCGCAGCCATGGAGGCTGACATCTTTGCGCTACGGCAGCGCAGAGGCAACAAACTAGCGATTGCGAGATCTCCCATTACGCTCGAAAATAACTACGGCAAGTTGAGAGAGATGAACTGAGACGGTACTGAACAGTAGATGGCAGTATTATACCCCGGAAGCGTTTAGTCTGCCTGAAACCAAAGAAGAAGAAGAAGCAGGTATACTGCGCCTCAGTAACAAGAAAGGTGAACAAGGCGGCAGGCGTGAGTGACTTTGCAAACTGTTTGGCACTGTGTGGCCAAACATCAGACGAATGGAGGATCATGCCTACTCTGTATCACAACGAAAACATGACGAGAATAACCGCAAGCGTGACAAGAAACGACAAAAAACACAGATCAACATTGGCACGGCATTTACACGATAGAAGTCACTGATGGAGGAAAAAGGTTTTCAAAGTGACGCTCAAGTTGCCAGTTTTCTCTTGGACAGGTAATTAATCCTACACACACAATTGTCTAATATCACTGCAGTTTTTGGAGTACAGGATGCTCAGACCTGTCTAAAACAATAACATGCTGCGTGACGATGCTGTTACTCTCCAGTATACTTATTCAGCAACGTCCCTGACGTTTCATAGGTAATGATTCAGTAATTTTCTGTAAAATCATTTTCTGGATATATACCTCGGTTACTTCTCTCCGGCTCCTTTGGAGATCTTCAAGCCTTTCCTCCTCTGCTCTAGTCACCCCGCTGGCACCCCTCCCTCGCCTGGCCCTAGCTGCACGCCCTCGCCCTCTTCTTCTCCCTCTTCCTCGCCTTGTAACCCCCGTGCCACTAACAAGACTTGGACTCTGTAAACGGGAAATATATATTCTTCCAGCGAACACAATCTCGCTGTTAAACTAATGACTACAATTACTTCGTCTGTTTATATCACCATGCAAAGCAGCTCACCAATAGGGTGACCATATTTTCATTTGGGAAAACCAGGACACCTTGGAGCGGGGGGGGGGGGGGGGGGGGGTGTTTGGGGGGGCTTGGGGGCTTGATTGAAAGAACAAATGTCTCATCAGGAAAGGTTACTTGGCGCCAAACAGTGGTGAAAATTGGAAGTTCAGTTTAATATAATCCAGTCTGTGAATAGTTCCGTCTGAGATTAATGAAAATAGTTGTTTTAATGGTTACAGAGTCAGATATGTGGCGGTAATGTTTGGTTTATCTAAAGGTTTTTATCTGTTACTGATTAAATGGGTTTGGCTGGAATTTAAGGACAGATTCTAATAGATCTGCAGGGGAGGACTATAAATCTGATAGGAGTTTAATTTTTTTATTGTTGTTTTGCACAATATGCTTAACTAAGTATTTTTTGTTGTTGAATATTAGAGATTTTGCAGATATATTTTGTAGATACATTGTTTAGATTTACTTATATATTTCTAACCCTTTTATAGAATAGAATAGAAAATCCCTTTATTGTCCCACAATGGGCAGATTTACAGCAGCAGAAAGATTATTGAAAATGGTCACACAGATGAGGACCTTAGAAAAATGTATAAGAATAACATAATAGGGAAGAGTTAAAATATAAACAATAAAATCCTGTAAAGTGTTTTAACAATATAAAACTGGAGAATAAATAACCAATATGCAGCTATGAACATTTTTACAGTAATGGATATTTGAAAATAGCAGCAACATCAGAGATGTGCAGAATGACAGCAGCAGGTTATTTAACTGACTAAGGTTTCTATCATTACATTTGATTTGATTTGTTCCTGCTCCTGGTGGTTGGAACATTTATTCCACTCTGGATTCTTGTGAGTGTAGTCTTTGTTCACTTTAACTTTATAAAAATAAATAAATAAACAAACAGTTTTGAAAACCTCAGTATTCATTCTTTTCCTGCTTTGTGTGTCAACGTTCACGGTTGCTAAGCAACAGAGCATACGGCGGTAAAACCCGCTGAAGGGTAGACCTGTTTGAATTTACAGCCAAAACTCTTCTGGCCTCCTTATTTTCAAGGACTTCGAAGGATCCAGTCTAGGTAGACCGCGTCCTTGGAGGATGCAGCCCAGGTTTTCGAACAGAGCCTCTGATTAAGAACAGGGCTGCCCGCACTGACGCGGCTCAGGGATTACGTCACACGGAGCGTCGTGCGCAGGACATTTCCTCACTTTCTAAAAAAAAACCGGGACGCCTGGGACAGGACGTGAAATACGGATATGTCCCGGGAAATACGGACGTTTGGTCACCCTACACCAAAACGTCACAACGATGTAGAAAAAATAACGGGTATATTTATTATCTTAAGTCTACATGAAATCTATACCCTACACAGACTAATGAAATACTATCTGTAAAATTATCTATGTAAACAAACCTCATCACTTGAGAAGGTAGGTGATGGAAGACATTTTGTCCCGTAACGCTCGCCATACTGTTGGGGGGGAGAAGCGGTGGGGGGGAGATGTTCATGTTGCTGCGGTCTGCAGTCTGACCGCTAGATGTCGCTGAAAATTACACACTGTAGCTTTAATTACGTCTTAGTAATTTTGAAAGAGAATTAAAGACCTTAATGGTCCAAAACTACTTTCTTTTCCTGTAGTATTCTTTCTTTTTAGAGGAAAGTGACAGCAAATTGGAATGAGAGACGGGGGGAACAATTTGTATGAAGGTTACAAGACAGGATTCAAACCTGCAACTGCCATGTCAAAGACTAGGAATTGGAGGGAAAGGGGGAGGTTATGCATAAGTAATGATAAATAACAGAATTGTTTAAGGAAATCTTACGTTTTCTGTCAGACACTGTCAATTGATGAGATCTGGAGCTATACATTTTACAATATATAGGCTTTATTAATATTATTGTTATCTATCTAAAGACATAAAGCCACTAGTAAGATTATTTGTTCATTCTTTCTTCTTTTAGATAAAGTGATCCTGATTAAAAAAAAGATGAACTGGGAGGATGCCTTATACTACTGCAGAGATCACTACCATGACCTGGTCACCATCACCAGCCTGGATGAGCAGAGATGGATCCAGGAGAAAGCCAAGAAGGCCTCCACTGATTATGTCTGGATGGGATTGCACTACACCTGTACTCTGGATTTCTGGTTCTGGGTCAGTGATGAGGTGGTCAGGTATAAGAACTGGGCCTCAGGGGAACCAGTGGATGACTGTGACATGTCTGGGGCCATGGAAACAGGAGGAGAACACAAGTGGAGAAAAATGAATGATGAGAAGAAGTTTAATTTCATCTGTGCAAAATTCTAGAGTCTGTAACTCCAAATGTCTTTTCATTTATTTTACAACTTTTGCAGTTCTTTAGAGTGCATTGTTTTTTGTGTGTTTTTAGAAGTGTACTACCTTGCTTTGTACAGTATCTTAGAACTGGATTGTTGGGAACTGCTCTTTGTTTTTAGACAGTTTTTATTTCATATGAGGGTGATCCTTTAATTAAAGCACTATTGGTCCTGCAAACTTGAAGAGAAAAAGTATAATAAAATATAAATTCTCACAATGTTATTGGTTAGTATAACTAGTCTAGTTTGAAGATTCATAAGAAAACACACAAATTTTTTAAGACAAATTGGTGTTTTTGAACAGATTTCCCAATTGGCTGGCACAAATGTAATTTCCTTCACATATAAATATTTGTCATTTATTCTAAAATACTTTGATACACATAATGTTTTTTCACTGGAAGAACAATTTCATATAAAGTTTTAACTGTTTATGCCTTTATAGTAAACACATACATTTATGGATTAGGTAAATTAATTTTGATGAGGACAAGACGCAAATCTTATGTCCGATATAACCTGAGATATAGCATTGGAATCGCAAGATACATTTCAAGGTGTAAATACTTGTGTTTTTAATTTAAGTGGAATATTTTCTCTTAAGTAATAAAGACGGTTTTAATGAGTGATTAGAATTTTTCAACAATTTATTTAAAAACAAATGGTGTGGTGGAAATTACACGGCATGGTGGAAATTAATGGTTGTTGTGGAAATTACAATGAATGGAACATACAGACAACAAACCTTTCTTTTTAAAAACTTTACGGAGCATAATAATAAAATAATAATGATAAAAAGAATACATTATTAAATAATGATAAACTAATTGCAGTCATGCATAGGTGGTACTAAGGGTGGGGGAGAGGGGGTGGCACCAAAATGCTTAGCATGTAAATTATAGTTAGAAACATGTCAAAAGTTGTCTAAAAAATTGATATTTAATAATATGACCACATTGTTGTAAAAATAAAATGAGATAAATAAAATGTGAGAACAAGGGCCTTGTATGTGTATCTGTAAATTACGCCTACACACGAAAATGTGATTTCCACCACACCATTGTAGTTTCTAGAAGAATGTGGTGGAATTACTGTGGTGGAAATTACAATCTGACAGAAATTGGCGGGAAAATCTATGCTAGCATTACATACTAGCTAACATAGGGTCTCTAGCATTTTATGCTTACAAAATACATCTATGTGTGTAAAATCAGTTGATGTTCAGCATGTTTGGAAATTACATGCAATAAAAATATTTTCAATTGAAGCGATATTTACCTTGGCTTTACTTCAAAAGTTGATGGATGAAGTCAAAATTCCCGCCATGTCAGACTTCTGCTGTGATGTCACTGTTCATCTCCATAGCAACTACCCAAACAATCTTTCACGCAAACTTTTTAAAGGGACATTACAGTGTTGTGGTGGAAATTACGACAATAGTGTGGGACAACTACAATTGGTTTAGAAAATAACATGAACAGTTGAATGACATTAAATACTGCAATTATAGTTTGATTATTTTACTGATATTTTATTCAAGATATTTTAAAATATTAGAAAAAAAAAATGTTTTTTTTACTATCCATTTTTGTCATTGAAGATCAAAAGTCTGGATGTGGGACAAGCACAGAGCTGTAATATTTACATATAAATGAGGCTGAAAAAAGGAGAAAAAGTCATCACAGGCTGCTAAAACAAATGTCCTAAAACAGTTTCATTGTAAAGATAACTATAAATGTGTGAAATGTCCCTTTTTTAAAATTTTTCATGAAATATTATCAATGGACATAAAAGTGCCCGTAGTTAAAGAATCACCCATGAATATGAAGTTTCATACTGTAGGACATATTATATATGTTTAATATAATATTAATCTTAGTGTGAATTAATCTTAACATTATATTAAAATGTGCTCAGATTTTTCTTTCCATGTATTAGTTAATTTCATTTCCAAAACTATTCAAGCAATTTCATGAGTACATCTGTCTAAATTTAATGAAATTTTCCTCTAAATTTATATTTGTATAAAAAAGAGAGAAATCAGTGTAATACAGAGTAAATTACATATACATGAAGCAAACAGAAAATCTTTATTTCACTTTAAAGGTACAGGTAATGATAATGTTGGAATTCTGTTTAATTTTTCTGTTCATTAAGTTAATAAGAATGAATTAACAATTTACACCTAGAAGGTGTGAGTAAGAATGTAGTATGCAACATTTATCATTAGCTGTTGGTGAGAAAATAAAAATGAACATTTAATTATTTCAAGATCTATTTTATTTTTCTGAGGACTAAGTCAAACAGAGTAATCAGTGGTTATTGTAAAATGTCTGACAACAGAAAGTTGTAAATAAGTCATTTTATTTGTTAACCTTCATTCCCATCTGTCAACACAAGATACAGGCTGAAATTTCCATGTCTGTGGGTGTGTGAGCATTTTGGGTAAAGCCAGTTAGACTTGCACATCAATATTTACTCCATATAAATCATGCATTATCACAACTTTATTGTTAGTTAGAACCATAGATTAAAAAGAAAATAAAAGCATTGATGTGTTATGGCAGTTAAATCTTAAGATTATAATAGACATCCGAAGTTGCAAAAACTCATTTCAGGGAGATGCTTTAGAAACCCAAACACACAGGATTTCAGAATTAGACATCCCCAGTTATTAATTTCATAAACTCACCAGATCTGAACGCCCTGTTAAAAAAACTTAACACCCATGAGTAGAGGTAATGCAGCCTGATGATATTTACACCGCATCAGATACCGTTCCCCCCATGTTAAAAAGAGGGGAACGCTATCTGACGGGATTTATAGGCCCATCAGATAGCGTCTCCCCTGATGTCATTTACGTTGAGTTGCAATAAATGCAAAACTCTCTGCAGGTTCTTGTCTTTGTTGTCCACTCTATTCAGCTGGCTTTTGAAACACATGGCGAGAAGGTGGGGGCCGGGGGGTGAGGGTTACGGGGGACAGAAACGCCAAAGTAACGCAATAGTTACTTTTACTAGTAACTAGTTACTTTTATTGTGGAGTAACTCAGCTATTTTTTGGGAGAAGTAACTAGTAACTATAACTAATTACTTTTTTCAAAGTGCCTAACACTGTTCCTCACCATGGCCAGTTCTAGAAAGGGAGCCAACGGAGGCCAGAAATTCTAATGATGATATGCGCTGGAACAGACATGGTTACTGATAGGTCCTTTGGAACTACTTCATTCTTTTTCTTTACAAATTCTGTTTTACTAATTGTTCAAAAACAATATGGGTAAAAGTTTCAGTGGTACTGATATAGGATCCCAGTTTTCATCTGCTAAATGTTTCTTTTTCCCACAACAAATAAAAAAATAATCCTCTAATTTTTACAGATGAATTTAACAGTTTTTCTTGAGTTCTAATTCAAAGTTTATAGAAAACAGTAGTTTTAACTTAAATTAAGTCAAAAATATGTAAAATTCCTAAATTCTAAATGTATATTGACCTTATAAGAAATAGAATTTCTATTGAACATAATTGAAAAGAAATTTCACTTCATGCAACTCTATTAATATATTTGAATCCCTTGCCCTGTTTTTTATTTCATGCTTTTCTGTGCCGCCATGAAAACACGCTGGCCCCCTCCTGGCCCCCTGGTACATTTGGTCTAGATCCGCCACTGTTCCTCACCTTCACTAGATGTGGATATACTTTAGTATATTCTGCTGTAAAATTAGTCCTATATTTTCGTTTTTTACTCAAGGATTCAACCTCTGCCGTTTTACAGGATGCACAGCTTTGAGTGGTAACTAGGTGACTGTCAGAGAATAACACGAAACTTATCAATCTGATCCAATCCAATAAGCTCTCAGACAACTAGTTGCCTGGAACACTGGTTGAACAGAGCATCGCTTTGGAGAGATACGCTGCACAGTTTTCACAAGTAACCTCCTCCCCACGCTCTCTTGTTGTCTGCACAATCGAAGTAGTTCTAATCCGCACATGATGCACAAATTATTGCCTGCCCGCTCTCACTCGCATTAAAAAACACCACCTCGCAGAACGTAAACTCCGGGATAATTTATCCGACTCGCGGGCAGCCGTGAACAACTATTATGTCAGGTAGACTCCCGGAACTTCCAGGAGGCTTGGGATGTCTGTATTAACCAACCTGAAGGTGTTAGGATTCTCAAACTGAAGCTGTTTTTTTTTAAACTATGGTAATCAAATTCAGTAATGAAGTCCAACATTAATGTGAAGTAAAAATGTGCACTGAGAGCTGATATGCAAGGAAGAAACGGTTTTATTTTACTCTGCAGAGGAGAACGACACGACAGCTGACTACAGCTCTCAGTGTGGCTCTGGGGTGGTAGCTTCCCACCCCTGCATATAAAGAGACTCCACACGCATGAACATTGTTTCTTCAGTTCATCAAGAACATACATGCAGTCAGATAAACACTTCAGACAACTGTTTCCCATCCATACCAGAAACGGGATGTGAGAACCTTGAACTCAGTGAGGACATTCTTATCTAAACTAGGGAGGCAACTTTCTTCTTCTCAGGCTTCTAAATAATCACCCTATTCAGGCAGAGAAAAGGCACACTTTTAAACATTTAATCTCACAAACAGGAAAAATATGATTCCACATTAGCTAAATACATGAACATTATTTTCTCTTTGGTTTAAAGGTATTGTGGAGGATTTTTTAATCCTCCCTCCACCTTAAAAAAAGGCACATGCAAGAGCATGCATGAGCTAATTTCTGCTTGTGCACGCCATGTTTAAAATAAATGCTGTTCTCATAGATCATACAACTGTACTTTCTCTACATACAGCGGGGACTATAGTGGACTTTATAGCAAACCCAGTTAACTGACCGTTAGGACAGATGACCATTGCTTTTTGCTCCGTTGGTCACTTAACTCTTCCTCCTCCACGTGGTGCCTGCGCTATCCATGTCATTAGTCGCCGCTGTTGGGTAGCGACAGCCTTTGGCCACAGGGGGCCGCTGAGACAGCAAATCCCATAGTGCTGGGATATATCTGCCTCTACTGGGGCCTTTTTTTCTTCTCATACACTTCGTAGACACTGTTTCTCTCACGACCCTCAGCCATTTTCAAAGAACCGCGGTGAGAAAGGTGAGCTTATTTGATTGTCGGAAACCATAGCTCACCATACATATGCGGCTGAAAGTGCATATGTGCAGAAAAAGATAGCTAATGGGGCCAGCACTTTGGAGGGCCTTACATAAACATATCACCAGAATGATTGACAATTAGGAGGACCACTTATTTAGATGATCCCCCCGAAAATAAAAGATTGTCCGCTATATCTTTAAGCTTTTCAAGTATATTGAGCTGTTATGTAGAAATTTACTGCTGGTTGTTTATGGGCTTGTCAGAGCACTAAAGGCTTTGTTAGTTGTTGTAATTGATCCAGTAGGGAGAGGACAGGAAGCGTATCTTATCTAAACATCCCAGCCTTAAAGGGATAGTTCGGTATTTTTGACATGAATCTCTATGGCATCCCCATCACCAGCGGCATGCAATCACACTGACTTACCCCTGGCAGCGTCCTGTGAGCAGAGTTATCGTCCAGTTTTGGTCAAGCCAAAAGTAGTCCGGCAGGTTTTTAGGAACAGCGAAATAAAACTTTTCTCTTCCCAAAACATTATGTGTTCAAAAGAGCGATATTTTTGCATCCCAAAAAGATTGTAGTGGGAAAAGTCACACGTTGTTATCAATTGGTCCTATTTTCTCTCTGTTCGTATCAGTGCGCGCCGTCATTCAGACAGCGAGCCCAACAACAGCCATGTCTCCTTCCGCCGCGGAGGGAGACATGGCTGTTGTTGGGCTCGCTGTCTGAATGACGGCGCGCACTGATACGAACAGAGAGAAAATAGGACCAATTGATAACAACGTGTGACTTTTTCCCACTACAATCTTTTTGGGATGCAAAAATATCGCTCTTTTGAACACATAATGTTTTGGGAAGAGAAAAGTTTTATTTCGCTGTTCCTAAAAACCTGCCGGACTACTTTTGGCTTGACCAAAACTGGACGATAACTCTGCTCACAGGACGCTGCCAGGGGTAAGTCAGTGTGATTGCATGCCGCTGGTGATGGGGATGCCATAGAGATTCATGTCAAAAATACCGAACTATCGCTTTAAGAGGCAAAGCTCACAGTCATAAAGCTGGACTGGTAGCTTCAGCAGACAAGAGGAATACTTTTTCTCCCAACACCGGCAAGTAGACTTTATGACATCATATTTACTATAAGGAATCAGGATTGGTTATCTTTGGAATCCCTTTTCACGAGATCATCTTTTAGGACTAACTGTGACTACAATATTTGGTGTTCATATGCATGTTTACAAGTTTAAATGCTGTTATTGTAACCTGATAAACCACAATAATTGAAGCTTAATTCTGGATTTCATTGTTTTATTGTAAATGAATCCTCACCTTTCTGATCCTGATTCCTTCTTGAAACAACCATAGGTTTGGGGAAAAGAAATAAATGCATAGTATTTTTTTTATTCAGGAGACTTGACCAAACCACTTTAAACTTCAATGAGTCATTCATACACTGATGATGGGAAGCTACATTGTAGCCACAGCTGCCCTGGGGATCACTGACCTAAGCAAGGCTGCAGTCCATAGGCTCACTGAGCTCTCTGACCTCTATCATTAGACAATGCAGTTGAACTCCTTCATCTGATGCCACTGTCGCCCCATACAAGTAACAACTTGATGATTTTCTTCATTGACATCAGTGTAATATTAAATTACATGTACTCAATGTTTTTCTGTGTAACTGCTAAGATTGTTTTTAAACACATTACACAGGTCCCTAGGAGGCTCCTTAACAGATTTCTGGTAAACAAGAGAAATTGAGAGGAATATTATTACTTACTTTTGAAATTTCTCCAGGAAATTCATAAAAGCCTTTTTTTTTTTTTTTTTTTTTATCAGATGTTCTCTTAATCCTTTTAAAACACAGCCCTTATCTTTATGCTGCTAAATGAATCAATGACATTTGTGACCAATAAGAAAACTTGTCTTTAAACCAAAATGTGTTTTTAATGTGTATTTAATAGTTATTGGGTTGTTCTGATGCTGAATGACATCAGTGAATCACTTAGCAGGATTACATGGAAGACATTCAGCCCATAAAGGCCACAGATCTGTAAGTCATTCAAGCAAATTACTATAAATACTTTTTTATATATACTATACTGTGCTGTATTGTTTATTGTATCACACTGTATATTAATGTTTTTAATAAATATATATATTTTATTCATTATTTCTATCATTTGAAATAAAATGACAAGGATGGTAAAACAGATATTTCTTTTCTTGCTTAGTTGAAAAAAACGTAGTTTGTAATAAAGATAGCCAGTGTTTTTTTTTTTTTTTTTACAATTCAAATGATGATATCTGGGTTTTGCCTATTTTATTAAAAACGGGCTAAATATATCACAGGTAGTGGGAAGTCAGTCCCATGTGGTGCAAATAAGAATGATTACTCTGTTAAAAGCAGGAAGGAGGATGCAAATTAGAACAGCAGGCATAATGTTGAGTGCCATAATGTTTCTTTATGAAACCCATCCATTATCATTAAAGGCCTAACAGATGCAGTGAACTCTGGAGCTGGGATAGGCCACCAAATGTTATTAAAAATTTTTCACTTTAATGAAAACAAAATAATTAAAAACAGTAGCTACATTGTGTCCAGTTTTATTGTAAAAAAAAACTTTTGGAGACTCAACGAGTGACTGTGTGCTGTGTTCAATTCGTTTGCATGTTTTGTTTTTCTTTATATTTTCTGCAATGGAAAATAATGTTTTAAAATGTAGAAGACATTATAAACCGCTTCAAGTATTTCTCCAGAGTACAACAAAACACCTGGCAGTCAGATATAAATTTGTTGCAGCAGCACAGACAGAATCACAGCGGAATAAAAAAAAAAGAGGAATCTCACTCAAATTAAATGAAATAAATAGGCCTGAGAAACAAAATCTCTTTTCCTCTATGTATATTATTCTATTACATCATAGCTCTTTTCAGTTTTTTAATGCAAATGAATTAAAACTTCCTGCACAGCACGTTGTGTTTATCCATAAATATTCACATTTAGTTCCTTAGTCAGTCTGTTTCAGCAAAACTGCGCATTTAGTAAGAACTGTCTTCATCAGGACATTCATTCTCCAAAATCTGAGTGAGAGACAAAGCCAGATGTAAGTTTCTCTTTTTTAAATACAGTTCAGATATTTATTTTTATTAATTATACCAGAGATAGTCTTCCATTGGCAACTATCAAAATTGACTCTGTAATTATTTATTGTTGTTGTAATGTTTGTTCTACTTCTTTTTTCTTATAAAACTGACTTTTGCATAACGAGTTCAGCTATTTTAATTTATTTCATATTGAGTATTATGATTAATCGTAATAGTTTAAAATATTCTGCGGGATGTTTCATGTTGACATGTTGCCTTCTAAAGTTTTTCTTGTACATGCAGAGGTCTGTCAAGAAAAAAAAAACCCTAAGACAAAGTACTAAAATTTATCCAACAGAAAAGATTATTGAGAGAAAAAAAGTAGCAACAAATCAACTAAATCCACCGGAGGAAAAATGCAGTGGGATCTGTTGCTGGTTACTTTGTTTGGTAAGAAACTTTGCATAAATACTGCAGTAGAAAAATTTTAACCACAATCACCACAGACTTTTATCAATGCTTATTAATCCTGTATTTTTTTATTTATTTTTAGCTCAGCACTCTTTTATAGTTTGTCAACTCTATGAGTATCACTACATTAATGAGGAAAAGACCTGGACTGAAGCTCAGCAGTACTGCAGAGAGAAACACACTGACCTGGCCACAGTGTCTAACATGGCAGACATGAGGAGACTTCTCAGTAACTCAGCAGGAAACATGACAGAAGCTTGGATTGGTCTGTATGATCAGAGAGATGGTATCAGAACATGGTACTGGTCTCTGCCTGGAGTGGAGTTCAATGAGGCAAACTGGAATGAAGGAGAACCGAATGACATAATAACTGAAAACTGTGGGTTTATAAATACTATAAAATGGGGAGACATATCTTGCAACAGGAAACTGTTCTTTCTATGCTATAAAAGTAAGAATAAAACATTTCTCTCACGTTTTATATTTAACTAAAAGAATTAGGATAAAATGTAAGTTTCACTAATGTTAGGATGGCTGGGGGGATTTTTATAATTAACTGATGTGTTGGAAAGTAGTGCAGACTTTCAAAGATGTATGCATCTTATTGTGCTGCTTTAAGGTCCTCCTCTCTGAAATGTTTATTTCACAGAAAATAAAACATCAGAGAAATTCTTCTTAATTGAAGAGGAGAAGACCTGGCTGGAAGCTCAGAGTTACTGCAGAGATAAACACACAGACCTGAGCAGTGGACTGGACCAGCTGAATGACGACCAACTGAAAGATGTTCTACCTAAAAATAAAAATGTGTTTATTGGTCTGTTCAGAGACACCTGGAGGTGGTCAGATGGAAGCAGCTTTTCTTTCAGACACTGGAACCTTATGTTTAATGATGAGAAATACAACAGTGGTCAATGTGCCATGACTGTGTTTGATGATGGAGGCAGATGGAAGAATGAGGACTGTACGGCGAAAAAACCCTTCATCTGTTATGATGGTGAGTTTAACTGCAGGATTTCAAGATAATATATCTAGCTCCAACCATGATTTTACTTCAAAAATATTTATTTGGTATTCTTTATGTATGGTAAAACATTTTCATTGTGTTTATTTGTAGTAAAGTACTCCCTGACCAATATATTTTATATTTAGCCTTATTTATGCCTGATTTTGAATAATATATGTGTATAAAAATGTTGTCATTCCAAATTTTTTTGGATTAACACGCAAACATATCGATATTAAAGAATTATGTTAAATTGAAGATCCTGGTCCACAAATTGTGTTTTTTGTAATTTTATTCTACAACAGACAACATGATCTTGATTCAAGAAAACAAAACATGGGAAGAAGCCTTACGCTACTGCAGAACTCACTACCGTGACCTGGTCACCATCTCCAACCTTGATGAGCAGAGGTCCGTCCAGCAGGAAACCCAGTTTGCCTCGAGTCCTTTTGTTTGGATGGGACTGCACTATGCCTGCACTCTAGATGTGTGGTTCTGGGTCACTGATGAAGTTCTCATTTTTGAGAACTGGGCCTCAGAATTAAAGATAGATGACTGTGACATGTCTGGAGCCATGCAGCAAGAAGGAGAACATAAGTGGGTGAAAGAAAATGTTAGTGAGAAGTTTAATTTCATCTGTTCCAAGTGTTAAGTTTTGCATGTTGATGTACTATAATCAAACAATAGCAAAGGTCACAGATATGTGATATTCTAAGTAGAAATTCAACTAAAGGAAAAGATTATCAATTTGAAAACATTGAAGGTATATTAATAAGAAAGGATTAAACACTAGCAAAGTTTCACAATATCTACAACAGTATATATATGCATAGATTGTGTTGTGATACAAAACTGTAGTTTATTCTGTGCTTTTTATTTCATTTTTTTTCTCTTCTTTAGTTTCAGTCCAAAATGGGCTAAAATATTTACTTTTACTTATTACAACAATCATTTCTTGTGTGTGATGCTCTGTAAGGTGTGCAGAAGTTTAATCACATGTAATAAAGAAACTATAACAAAAATGTTTTTTCTTTAAGTCTGCCCACAATGTAACTTTTGAAAATACTGAGGATGCAAGGCAGAGAATAAAAAATGTTTAGTAAGCCTTTTTCCAAAGCACTCAATTAGAGGAGGAAGCAGTGGAAATATATCAAAGGGAGCATAGTAACATTGTATTGGTAAATGCTAACTGATGAGGAAGACTCATCTAATATTTATTAGTTTATATATATATATATATATATATATATATATATATATATATATATATATATATATATATATATATATATATATATATATATATATATATATATACAATCCATGTAATACTTGTATATATATATATATATATATATATATATATATATATATATATATATATATATATATATATATATATATATATATATATTGCGTCCATACAGATAGAAGTGAAGTTAGTGGAGATGTGGGGAAAGCATAGGACTTGGAATATTTAACAATTAAAATATGGACAAAATAATTAAATGTAAAAGTTGATCATTACAATCCATGTAATACTTGTCTTTAGAATTGATTGATGAATGTTCTGATTTTAGTAATGAAAGCTGATTAAATGTGCTAATTTGTATTAGGTGCATTAAATCCTTTTACTAAATCAAATGAAAAAAGATTTTGTCAAGTGACTGCTTTGGAATATTACAGTTCAACATACCTGTTCACAGTGATATATCTACACCAAGACATTAAGGTGCTAAACAGATTTAACTCTTAAGACAATGGAGTGAAAAGATTTGAATCCTAAAAATGTAATTCAGTTTGAAGGCCTTAGTTCTTGACATGGCTGTGATGGATTCCAGTCCTGGCTGGTTAACCTTTGCCGCATCTTTTCAGACATCCCAGGTTCCAAAAACTCATTTCAGGGAGATAGACTTGGGATGTCTGTCTTTTCCCCACTCTCTCTTAATCGTTTCTCATATCCGTCTAATGAAAAAAAAAAACACACAGCACCATTACAAAGCAACAATTAGCAACAGAAGGAACAGCATATTTAGATTTTGTTAAAGGATTTTTTTCAAAAATGTTTGCAACATTGACAGCCTATAACTTAAAATTATATAAAATATATTATATCAATTTAACTGCATTAAACAAAATAACATACTGTAAATAATTTTTTAATTGAAGTTATATAGAGAGTAAAAAATTTTATAAATTTATTAAAATAAAGAGAAAAGTTGTAAATATATATATAAGATATACAATAACAACAATATGAAATGAAATAAAATATTGTTTACATATTTAGAAATACATATTTGCTTGTGTGTGTAGGGAAAGCTGCAATTAGTGTCTGGAGTTCACCTCTTATTCTGTGATCTCTGTGTTTTTCTCCTTTTTCTACGTATTTATTGGACATGAACAGACAACAAAAAACAACTTAAATTTGATCATTATTATAACTTGGATTTTAAAGAAAAAAAAAACAAGATGAAGTTACTTTCTTTGACAGGTGTCCATTTATTATAGGGCTTTATGTTTGTTCATGTACATGAGCCACTGACTACAGTGACATCAATATTCAAATTGTCTTTTAATCAAAAAAAGTCAAATGTTTTTGTTGGACCATAGCATTTCACTGAAACCTGACTTACCAGCTTGGAAATTCCAAAGAGAGGACAAAACCATTGGTAGGTTTCACCTTTGCTCATCAATTGATTATATTTCCATTATTATACTGCATTAGCACTACAGTCTTGTTATTGTATTTTATGATTTGTTATCTATTATTTTTTTTAACAAGTCATACATAATATGTCCTATAGAATAATCTTTGAAAATATTGTAATTGTATCCGGACTATATAAAGTTTCTTTAAGAAAGAAAGAAAAACAGACTTATTTTCCCCATTCTTTAAAATACATCAGAATATTTGAATGCAAACCATTTAAACCTCCCTGATTCCAAAAAGGCAAACCACTTACCTTTTGACAACCCTAAATGTTGACACTCCTTTTAGCTGATTTTTTGTTCTTTTGTCCATATCAAAACTGACGGCTACCACTCTGTTAGGGAGTTACAGTTAACCAGATATCTGACTTTTGTTTCTCTTTCTGTATTTTTATCAAGTAGTTACAATTATTAACAACTCCTCGTTTCCTGGCAAACAGCTCTTACGGCTCAATTAAGTTTTTTTTCCCTGTGGTTGCATTGAATAATGTTGTTGTCATGGCTCATAAAATTCACAATGACATTAATGCACTGATTTGGATGGACCATTTACGGTTTAAGAAATAATAATCTAGTAGTTTACACACACAGTCCCTCCAAAATTGTCAATAAATTTGAGTTAATTAACTATTAGGAAAAATGATTTTATTTGAATAGCTAATCCAGACACATGCAGTGTTTGCAAATTTAATTGGGACTTTTCATTGAGTTTCATAGTTTGTAGGGCTTAAACAAGACCCTTACTCTAACCTGTTTACCCATGGCCTACAGGTGTAAACCCGCAGTAAATAATGCAATGAGCAACCAAACAATGTGTAATGCAAATTCCAAACATGCAAAAACAGACAACAAATGAAAAATAAATAAGAAATGAGCTGCAAACAGCTAAAAACATGTGACATGTGGCAAAATGGGCTGCAAACACATTTATGATGCAAAGTTAAAAACATGCAAACACAAAATAACAATAAAAATGCTGCAAACAAAAACAGACCAAGCTACATCAGTTCAAACATGACTCAAAGTTTTTTTTTACTATTCTTGAAAATTATAGGGCTTTTTTAAACAGCAGTAGTAAAAAATATGCTTGAGAAAATGCAGGTCTCATTGTATTATATTTGTTCTACATCATGTCAACCACAAATGCAGTAAATTTCGGACCTCTAGCTACAATAGTTCCAGAGGTGTCGGGCTTTAAACTTTTAGTGTCACCAGCGTCTCCAAAAATCTCCAAATGTGCCAAATTGTGCCAAATGCATTTACTATGCATTGCTTTAGTATTTGACCCACATAATAACACTGAAACATTTTGATGGCCACAAAATGTTTATGAAGCAAGTATTTTCTACCTTTTTTCAGAATCAGTGTAACAAATTAGTGTTACAAAATGTAGATTTTTGTAGGTACATTTGATAGAGTGATTTTTGTTTCTGGTAATGTGAGAGGGTTCACCTTCCTGAACTGCATTTAGTTTTAGTCTTTTGAGAGTACCTGTACCCCAAAATGAATATATGTTTAGAAAAAACTTCCCCAAACAGTCCAAATAAATAATCCAACATTGTAAATAGCAGCAGAAAACAATAACACTCCATTAAACAATGGAAAACAGTCTCAAGATTAGTGTGAAATAGGTAATCATTGCTAACATCAGGGTTAATGACAGAAACAAAAACATTCACAGATACAATACCATGTAAAATCTTCCACTGCAGGTTAACGGCTCATTGATCAATGGTGGTTTGTAAAGCTCTCTCCACTCAGATCCAACACTGTCACTAAGACATAAGTGAGCTCTCCATGGTGTGTCAGCTCTGCCATTTGATTTGTTCCTCTGCAAAATCTTAACAAATCTTTTCGCATCTAGAAAACAAAAATCAGAAGATATATCGTTTTTTTTTTTTTTTTTAAGTCCTGCACGGGAAATTTCACGGAAGGGAAAATACTTCCAGACAGGAGGCAAGGCTATTCCTGCAAGTTGGACTACATATCATAGAGTCACCACACTTGAGAGCCAGAACTGCCTGAGAAGAGTTGGCCCCACCTGACTGTCCTTATAGCTGGTGTCAGGAGGAGACAGCTTTGGGAAAGAAACTGTTCCAGTACCTGGTGGTTCTAGTCCATTGGCTTCTGTAACGCCTCCCAGAGGGCAGGAGTGAGAAGAGTGTGTGCGCAGGATGAGTGGAGTATTTAGTAATTTCTTGGCCCTTCTCAGACACATCTTCCAGTAGATTTCCTTGATGCAGGAAGCGATGCCCCAGCGCTGGGCAGTTTTCTCCATCCTCTGCAACGCCTTCTGGTCTGAGGCAGAGCAGTTTGCATAACAAAATGTGATACAGTTGGTGAGGATCCTTTAAATGGTGCAGTGGTGGAAGTTCAAGAGGATCTGTGACAACAAGTGGTTCTTCCTTGGGGTCCTTATGAAGAAGTGGCACTTATTGCTTGTTATCGCATTGGATTAAGCAAACTCTCTTTGAGACCTGCTGTTGGACAAATGGACTGGACTGGAGATTAGGCCTGCACGGAACAGAGGCCAAGGCCTTCCACTCCACCAAGCCAAAACAGTAACATCCATCCTTGCCCCCTTCCATCTGATGCTTTATAAGTGCAGTGCTCTAGTGAACTAGGTAGTGTTTTATCTGAAATAAGCTGTGGATGCTAATGCTCACCAAACAGACTCAATGAGCAATGCAGTTCTGAAGAGAGAGCTACAACGGGCTGACTAGCATGGTTAACTCCAGCTACCTCATGCCGTGTGGAGAACTTTAACCTTTCCTTTGTTACAGCTGGACCCGCCTGGACCAGCTAAGCTAACCCTCTTCTTTCAGCCTCATCACAGTTTAACGCATTCCCCAGGATTCAAATGCAATGCCCTAACCACTAGGCCAAAAAATCGTGTGCTTGACAGAGTTGCCACTGGTGAATAGGCCACTCACATTGTGCTGTTACCCAAAAAGGATGGGGGAATACAGACATGGAGATTTCAAAGTAACAGTAAATCCAGTGCTAAGTGCAGAGGAATACCCACTACCTCTAATGGAAGATCTGTTTGCAAGTCTAAGTGGAGGACAATCAAAATAGACCTCAACCAGGCTTACCTGCAAATATTTTTAGATTAAAACTCACATGAGTTATTAACAATAAACACACACAAAGCACTCTTTCAGCAAGCAATGGATCAGATCCTCAGCGGTTTGTCAGGAGGTCAGTGTGATTTTGATGTCATCTTCTGTACAGGAGCAAACAATGTACAACACCTCTACTACTTGGATTCCACTCTCCAAAGACTGCAGGAGAATGGGCTAAGAGTATGCAAAAAACTGAATATTTGAAGCCATATGTGGAGTACCTAGGTCACTTGATCAATGCAAAAGGTAGTTCACTCTGTTTCCTTGTATTTAAAATAACTTCCTGTTGTCTGCGAATAAAAAAAACGCATTTACCCTCATCCACCACCTGCACTACTTTAGCGATCAAAAAGGTGTTTGTTACTTTATTAATTCTCATGGATTCTATAAAAAAACTAATTTGTTTATTTCCCTGTAAACTGGAATATGTTGTGTGCCTGGCCTTTTTGCTCCTGCTCAGTGCAGGTTACGGTGCTGTGGATAAGGATAAAGCTGCATCTGTTCTCTACACCAGTGGTTCCAAACCTATTTTGACTTTTGTACCAGTTTGGGCATTTTGTCTTACCAAGACTGATGATTGTCCAAAAGTGGAATGTACAGTAACTAATTATAAAATACAAATGATTTTACTTAATCTTTTGACTTAAGCATTTAATTTTTAGGGTTTTTATTCTTTCTATCCCCCCCCCAAAAAAAATAAAATAAACATAAATATTATGCCTGGAAGTTAGTAAGGAATCAAAATAAATACAAAATTAAATCATATCATAAATCTGTATTTATAAAACTGGAGCTCCTCTGAGTAACTCCCTTATAATCAAATTTAAACTCCATGAATTAGGAACAAAAAATGATATTCACACTGACTTAATTAGTTTTCCTTTGTTTTCATCAAGACGCCTGAACTTGCTTTGATGAGCTCCGATAGCTCAACGTGAAAAACAGCTGATCCCAGGCTGTTCTCTAAATCCAGTCTGTTCCTCTGCTTGGATTTCATATTTTAAAGCTGCAGATCAACTTAAACATATAAGAAAAACATATGTTTTGGTTAATAAAAGCTTGTTTTATTTTTCAATTGGATCCTCACAAAGAAACAGATCCTAACCCTATTTTATTCCCTAGGAAATAACTTCATGTATCCCTTGCAATGCACTCGCGATCCACTAGGGGTATGAGTACCCCTGGTTGGGAAACACTGCTCTACACCATACTTATCATTACTTTAATCTTATTTAATGTTTCTTATCAGCACCTTTCCCCATGGCAATGCGTCCTTTTGTTATGGCTATGAGCCAGCTTAACATACAACTGTGTCACACATCATCACCGTATCTCAAATGCTTAGCTGATTTTCAGTCTCTTAGTCTCCTGTTTAGGTCAGATACAAAAAAAAACTACTGAGTAAAGTGAAAATTACTGCAGATGAAGACAATTACTTGTACTTAGAGTCTTTTGTGTAAAGGATGAAATAACCAAGAGTACAGTCCGCTATTAGTTAGTCTGACACATGACCCAGGGCTTTTTTTGGCTTATAATGGCTATATTACATTTGTAATCCTAAGATTTTTTATATGCTGCAGAGGGATTAGGGTAATAGGCCGGCATACACTGTATGTGTTTTGACCTTTTTGGGCTAATTCTCCAGTTGAGCGAGAACTTTTTGGATCAGGCTGTGTTTCGGGCGAATCCTACATCCTGTGATATACAGGGAGTAATGAGCAATCTCATGACTGCCTCCTATCAGGAAGGTCGGGAGAAAATTAAACATGTTTCAAATTCAGTTGACCGTCATGAGGTGCTTGTTACAGTTCTTGTACCATTTCAATGTCTAGAAGTATCTCTTTAGTAGTTTTAATGCATCATTAATTCTTATTTTGTTGAGTACAAAGGGAAAATGACCTGTATGATAGCCCCATGGTGTGACGACTTCTGCAGGTTATTGATGATGTCTTAGGGTGAGAGCAGGGCTGGAAGATGCTCAATGATTTTTTTTTAACTTTTTTTTGTTTTGTCTTTTTAAAAATTAGAAGTATGAAAACACTGAATTTAATGAAGGATGGACCCACAATAACTGGATGTAATAATTAGAATGTAGAATATTTGATTAGCATTCTGTATCACCAAACGTAGAGTTAAACCTGGAAAACCTATGCCGACAAAGCGATTTCTCTGCCTAATTTTAAATTTCCGAAAAGAAATCTGCTTTGTAATTTTGTTTTTGAATTATGGTTGAGTAGAAAGACATATTTTTATTAATAGGATTATTTAAAATATTTTATATGTTTTAAATGCTTTATTCTATTTAGTTAAGTGTTGATAGCACATTTCATGTTTTCTAGGTCTTAATGTTTGAGAACCTACACATAACTTTGGGGTTGTAAAGTGTTTAAAAAATAAAGATTGATTGATTGAGGTTTAAAAGAGGAGAGTTTAAAATTATAGACTGAACTATTAAAAATGTCAAGAAGGCAAAGTTTAAAGTGGCCCATCAGGCTTTGTCTTTCTGGTGTGAACTTGTAAAATGTTCAAAATGAAACTCAGTTTTGGAAAATTATTTTTTTGCACTATAACCCGACAGCCATCTAAAAAAAGCAATGAATGTTGTTTTAAATTCCATCATAGCAACACTTTGCTCATTTGTTTATTTGACATTTTGTATATGCAAATAGAGAATCTGTCTAATACAACAGATCAGGTAGCACTGAGCTTACTGAGAACTGTCTATAACAAGGCATCCAGCGATTTAATGATTTTCAATCCGAGTGGAAGGACATAACCAGGCTTAGGTTTGTATTTTAACCAATGTATAACTATTATTATTGGGATTACATTTCTGGAAACAATATTTCCTTTTTATGTCTTGTTTTTTCCAGGTTCTAGATTAAAACAAAAAAGAAAATTCAGATATTTCAAACAGACGCTCTAAATATGCACTGGAAAGTTTTTCTTCTTACTTTAATGGGTAAGTTGTAATGAAAAACATGTTATCCTTGACATTTTACCTAAAATTTGTACAAAAACCACTGGATGAAAGTTTCAGAGGAGTTTTATTATTATTTTGGTTTTGAAGCTGATGGTATGATTTGCTTTAAATGTTTGTTGTTGTTTTTTTTTCTGTAGCTCAGAGTTATCTGATGGTCTGTCAGCTCTATGAGTATCACTACATTAAAGAGCTAAAGACCTGGACTGAAGCTCAGCAGTACTGCAGAGAGAAACACACTGACCTGGCCACAGTGTCTGACATGACAGACATGAAGAGACTCCTCTGTAACTCAGCAGGAAACATGAAGGAAGCTTGGATTGGTCTGTATGATCAAAGAGATGCCGAGAGGACATGGCACTGGTCTCTCCCTGGAGTGGAATTCATTGAAAGTGAGAAAAATTGGGCAGATGATGAACCGAATAATAAGGGAACCGATGGTCAAAATTGTGGGATTACATGGAAAAGTGATGGACTTTTCCTCAAATGGGGAGACATATCATGCAATGAACTTTATCCTTTTTTCTGTTATAATGGTGAAAACCTTTTCTATTTTCTTTTATATATCTTCTTCTATCTCACATCTGCATTTGACTAAGAAGCAATAGTAATCTAATTATTTATTCCACAGATAATGACACATCAAACAAACTGCATTTTGTTAGAGAAGAAAAGACCTGGCTGAAAGCTCAGAGTTACTGCAGAGAGAAATATACAGATCTGGTCAGTGGACCTAAGCAGCTGCAGAAGGAACACATTGAACTTAACTTAAGTTTTGAAGATATACAAAAGGACTACATATTTATCGGTCTGTTCAGTGACACCTGGAGGTGGTCAGATGGAAACAGTTCCTCCTTCAGGCACTGGAATCTAGAGTTTAACAATCAGATAATCAACAGCGGTCAATGTGCCATGGTTGTGTTTGATGATGGAGGTAGATGGAGGAATGAGAACTGTACTGTCAGAAAACCTTTCATCTGTTATGATGGTGAGTTTTTTTCTTTTCCTAAAAGTTGATAAATATAACACTAAAACCAACAAGGAATGTATTTGAGACAAAAAAATTATTTTAAAGTAAAACCAAGAAATACAGTATTTCATATCTGCATATTAACTGTTGTCGAAAAGGTCTGGGAGCAAGATCAGATATATAAAAAAAAAAAAAAAAGAGAGATAATTGTCCCGTTGGTATACTGTGTGCTAAACTGTGCTTAGCTATATGCATTGCTTAACCTTTGCCTTTTGTTACAATAACTTTTTTTTTTTTTACTAAAAATCTAAATCCTAAGCCCTACTAGTCTATCTTGGTATATTCTAGGCAGTTCTAGCCGTTCCGGTATTCATTGATGGTTGGATGGACCATAAGTCCTGGGGAATGACTTCCTGACAAGATGTTTGCTTGTCTTTCCTGATTCCTACAGAGAGTAATGTGATCCTGATCAAACAAAATAAGACATGGGCAGAAGCCTTATCGTACTGCAGAGAGCACCACCATGACCTTGTCACCATCACCGACCCCACTGAGCAGAGATCAGTCCAGCAGAGTGTCAAATTTGCATCAACTCCTTTTGTGTGGATGGGACTGGGCTACGCCTGCACCCTCGATTTGTGGTTCTGGGTAAGTGATGAGGTGGTCAGCTATGAGAACTGGGGACAAAGAGGACAGATGGATGAATGTGACATGTCTGGAGCCATGGATGCAGGAGGAAACCATCAATGGTTTAAGAAAATGTATACTGAGAGGTTTAATTTTGTCTGTTTAGAGAAAAGACGTGGGTAATGAGATGCTGTGTATCAAGACCAAAAGCTGTCTGTAAAAAGAGGTATATTAAGTTGTTTTGGCTTTGTTTCACCATAGACAGACAGACAGACACAAACACACACAGATACACAAAGAGACAGATAGGCAGACAGACAGACACACACAGACAGACATACATACAGAGATAGTTCACTTTAAAGTGAGATTTCTTGTTTTCTTAATTCTTCTAAAGGTCCCCTCTATCTGCTCAGTCTGCTGTATCATAGGGAGGTCCTTTGAATATACAGAAAAAAATATTCTGATTGGAAATACTTTGTAATGTTTTTAATCATGGAATCCTTGTATGTCTTTTCCAATGTTTTATTTCAACCTTTTAAATAATTGCATTTGAAAATGACTTATATTATCTGCTTGATTACATCATGTTGTCTAATTTGTTTTATTTTATATGTTCAATGGCATACTCAGTCCTTGATCTTCCTACGCTAAATTAAGTAATCTTGTATATTTTATTTTTACTTGACAAAAAACTTTTTGGGGGAAATGCTACTTTTAATGTATATACTTAACACACCTCTTTGTGTCACTTATTTTTTCTAAATCATTTATAAGTTAAGGCTATAAGACCCCCGATTTTACCAAGCTGCACAGGGAGTTGTGATATCTCATTAGCTTTTGCTTAATCAATAAGGTTAAGAATTAGCTATTATTTTTCTCATAAGACTACTATAGATTTTATCCAGAAGAAAAACCCTGATGAAGTAATGCAGTCTTTATTCAGACACCATGTCAAGTTTCTGTGGATACATAATATATGCAAAAACCAATAAGCATTAGAAATCCAATAACAAGAATTTAACACATTTAAAGTAATCATCTTTGTTTACATGAATATAAACAAAATATCTGTCCTGTAAACATTCCAGTCTGAGGGCCGGATTTATCAAGATCCAATTTTGCGTGCAGTAATTTGCGCTCGCAAACTGGAATTTTGCGAGAGGGGCTGAACCATGGTTTGCGGGTGATTTAACAAGAGCGATTGCGTAGCTGGTGGCAGGTGCAAAACTGTTGGAGACGCCCTATTTAAATGATGGTTTTGCGCGTTTTGTGGTTTGCGGCAAAGTAGTTTGTAGTTTCTACAAACTAGTGCATTAAGAAATTTAAATCTTACAGTGACACCCAACAAATATATATATATATATATATATATATATATATATATATATATATATATATATATATATAAGGAAAAAACGTTGGCAACCTTTATTCCCTAAGGTGGTATGTGGCTGAATTTCTACTTCACTGCAGTAAAAAATAAAAAATAAAAAACAGGTGTTTTGTATTGGGCTGTAGAAAAATGCACATACCAAATGGCTCACAAGAAGTGACTGTGGATGAGATTACACATCCCCGCAGCATTGGCATGTTGCTCCACAGGCGCAGGGGGGGAACCCCGACCCGGTCGGACAGCACTTCTGAGATTGGGAGATCCCAGCTCTCGCTGCAACCGTACGCTGGAATGACCCAGATGCAAAAAAGTGCAACGTTGCAAGGAGTTTTGTGATATCTGGTATTGCGTGGGTCCTCCTTGTGGCTGGCTCCAAATCCATTCGGAGTTCCCCCAACAGCTCCAAAATGGCAATGCTGGATAAACAATATGTTTTGATGATCGTTTCCTCGTTCATTCCAAAAATATTCACACGGAGTGAAAAAATGCGTTCTCTGCGTCTCCTTGCTTCATTTCGATGTCTCCTTCTTGCGACAATAACCGCTGACATGTGTGCGCAATTATGCATACAGACCATTTGCACCTTCTTTTGAAACGTGTTAAATATAGAGTCAGATACCGTTAGCAAAATTGCTTTCAGGTTTAATAAAATCACTTTGCGAGTTCTAAATTAATATATTTACATGTTCTCCTCCCACAAGACGCACTTTTGCGTGTAAACGCCACATATTGCATATTCATTGCAGAAAAAGTACTAAATGGATAAGAGGCGCTATTTAGCATGTTTTAAAGACCAAATCCTTTTAGCACGCTGTTGATAGATCAGTTTGTACATTTTTTAGCGTGCGCAGTGAAATAGCTCACGTTTTTATACATGCAAACCTTTGATAGATCCGGCCCTGAGTATTTTGACTAGATTTGACAGGACTAGAATAAAAATAAATTTTGAGCATTTAAAATTCAGAAGATGATGAGGTTAGTTTCCTGCTCTGTTGGTAATGGGGGATGGTTCAACTTGGCATGTATCAATGTCATCAATGTAACATGTTTCTGATTGGAGAAAGAATACTTATTGCAGCTGCACTGCAAAAAATCTAAATCTAGAGAAATCATTTTTTCTTAAAATAAGTGCATTTGTTCTTGAATTGAGGAAGTAAAAGAGACATTTTGCCAATGGAACAAGACAATTTACACTTAAAATAAGAAAACACAATTGCATTGTCTTATTTCAAGTGCACATTATCTAATTATCTTATTTTAAGAGTAAAATTACTCATTCAATTGGCAAACTATCTCATTTACCTACTCAAATTAAGGGTGAATACACTTAATTTAAGAAATGTTTACTTATTTCTAGGTCGTTTTTGCAGTCCTCTTAGGAAATCCAACTCAAAGAAGAGTAAGCTGATATACTTACTGGAATATTTCTTCATTGTGTCCCACATGTTCTTGCTGTATATTAATGTTGACCTGTAAGTGTCTTATTTTGATTAACTTTCCTCAGCAGATTTTTTTCTCAGAATTTCACACAATGCTGAAGATTCTAAACAATCATTAGATGCCTCTGACCTATTTGATGGCCTCAATAAAGTCCAGATAGCAGAGCTGTTTTGTCTCAGCCAATTATATGTATATTTTTTATAGAGACTGCAATAAATAAAGTTAGTTATATATTGTTATTTGTTTGTCTTTTTTCTTTTTTTTTTTTTTGGATACCACCAGTTTTGTGGTTGTAAAAAAACAGAAGGGGGATGGTGGGATTGCATGATATTGTTTTTACATGTAAGGTAAGCCGGTCATTGACCTTGACCAAGGCACTTTACAGTAGAACTGCAGTCAGTCCCTGGATTGGCATGGCTATCACTGCCCTACATAGTTAGGGACACATTTCCCACTCGGATCAGCTTCATAGTCATGATAGCCCACTTATTTGATATTATTTATTTTGCTCAGGCTACTAGTAAGCCCACAGCTTGCCAAATGTTGAAAGGGCACTATTATTGCCACTGTCTTTTAACAACAGCTATACTGCAGCTCCTTTTAGCAATGAGTGCCAACTATAGTATTGAAGCTCAAAGCAAATAAAATGTTAGGATACAGAGGACTTAATTAATAAATAACAAAACACTAGATCATAATATTTATCCAAATATAATTTTTTTACATTCTTTGGTTTCAAAAAGTTGTACATAACACATTTGCATAATAAAATAAAAAAAAAAAAGGTCTGATGTTTTTGGTTGTTTTCACACCCCCTTTAGATCACATCTTTATTCTTAGATATTTCATTAAGTTAAGAAATCATACCTCTAAACTTTGAACAAGTGGTTTGTTATATTGGCATTTAAAAATGTTTAAGATTCACAATTTGATAATTGTATTTTATTATTCAAGTAATGTAACTGAAGAGGAGACGTTAGAGGTAAACAACATGTAAATTAGGGCTCTACAGTATAAAAGCACTGCTTTGTTTTGTTTTTTAAACAGCAGTTTTCCATAAGGAAGTAGAGTGCTCTCACCTCATATGTTTTCTGTTAATAGCAAACAAGGAAATAGCATGAAAAGCAGAGCGACAGAAGAAAAAATATAACCAAACAACACAACATGAAAAAAAATAAGAGTTAGGGAATAAGTTATTCTACTTTTTCCTACCTTAAAGTGTGCTTTGTGATAAAGTAAGTGAAGAAATTTGATTAAATAGCATCCATCCATCCATCCATCCATCCATCCATCCATCCATCCATCCATCCATCCATCCATCCATCCATCCATCCATCCATCCATCCATCCATCCATCCATCCATCCATCCATCCATCAATGGTTTAAAAAAAGATATACTGAGAAGGTTTAATTTTGTCTGTTTAAAGAAAAGATGTGGGTAATGAGATGCTGTGTATCAAGACCGAAAGCTGGCCGTAAAAAGAGGTGTATTAATTTGTTTTGGCTTTGTTATACCATAGACAGACAGATAGATATACAGACAGAAAGACAGACAGACACACACACACACACACAGACAGACATACATACAGAGATAGTTCACTTTAAAGTGAGATTTCTTGATTTCTTCATTCTTCTGAAGGTCCCCCTCTACCTGCTCAGTCTGCTGTATCATAGGGAGGTCCTTTGAATATACAGAAAACAATATTCTAATTGGAAATACTTTGTAATGTTTTTAATCATGAAATCCTTGTATGTCTTTTAAAATGTTTTATTTCATCCTTTAAAATAATTGTATTTGAAAATGACTTATATTATCTGCTTGATTACATCATGTCTAATTTGTTTTATTTTATATGTTCAATGGCATACTCAGCCCTATAAAGTTACTTATATATTGTTATTTGTTTTTCTGGTTATTTGATGGATACAACTGTTTTTAACAACAGCTATGCTGCAGCCCTTGGAAGCTGACAAGACAAAAATTAGTCCTTTTAGCAATGAGTGCCAACTATACTATTGAAGCTCAAAGCAAATAAAATAAAAAAGTATTTTTTTATATTGACTATTAAAAAGTTTAAGGTTAGCAATTCGATCACTGTATTTTATTATTTAATTGATTTAACTGAAGAGGAGACCTTAGAGGTGAACAATATGTAAATTAGGGCTCTATAAAAGCGCTGCTTTGTTTTGTTTTTTGGTGCTGTTTTTTTTAAACAGCAGTTTTCCATAAGGAAGTAGAGTGCTCTCACCTCATATGTTTTCCTTAATAGCAAACAAGGAAATAGCATGAAAAGCAGAGCGACAGAAGAAAAAATAAAACCAAACAACATGACATGAAATAAAAATAAGAGTTAGGGAATAAGTTATTCTACTCTTTTCTACCGTAATTTTTGAATTTTGATAAAGTAAGTGAAGACATTAGATTAAATAGCACCCATCCATCCATCCATCCATCCATCCATCCATCCATCCATCCATCCATCCATCCATCCATCCATCCATCCATCCATCCATCCATCCATCCATCCATCCATCCATCCATCCATCCATCCTTCCATCCATCCCTGCTCATTCAGAACAGGGAAACAAGGGGCCGACCC